CCAGTCAACAGCCCCAGTTGACTGCAGAGTCCACTCAGCAGCCATATTGACCATGAAGCCCACCCAACGAGGAGCCCATCCAGAAGCATTACCCAAGATCACAACACAGGCAACAGCCCCACCCAACCAGAGACCCCTCCGCAAGCAGCACCTGCCGGTGAATGGTACAAGCTAGCCCATCTAGAACCCCAGGCTAGGCTGACCTATAGAGGTCTTTTCATGCCAGTGAACCTATAAAGACAAGAAGAGGTGATGGCTCCCTCAAATGCACAGACACCAATACAAAGAGACAAGGATCACAAAGAATCAGGGAAACATAACACCCTCAAAAGAAACTAATAAAGCTCCAATAGCTGACCCTAAAAAATGGAGCTCTGTGAACTGACTGACAAAGATTTCAGAATAATCCTTTTCAAGTTCAGTGAACTACAAGAAAACACAGATAGGCAACTAAACAAAATCAAGATAACAATACGTGAACAAAATAAGTTCAAAAAATAAATTAAAATCACATTTTTAAAAATCAAAAATCCCAGTGCTGGAGAATTTCATGACTGACCAAAAGGCATGATCCATGAAAGAGATAATTGATACGTGAACTTCTCTGTAAAAGGCACTGCCCAGAGGATAAGAAGACAAGCCACCTGCTGGGGGAGAATATTTTCAAACAACATATCCGCCCGGCCAGGCGTGGCTCAGCGGTTGAGCATCAACCTAGGATCCAGGCGATCAGGGTTCGATTCCTGGTCAGGGCATATGCCCGGGTTGCGGGCTGCAGCCAATCAATGACTCTCTCATCATTGATGTTTCTATCTCTCTCTCTCTCCTTTCCTCTCTCTGAAATCAATAAAGATATATTCAAACGACATATCCACTAAACGACTATCATCCAAAATATACAAAGAACTCATAAAAATCAACAATAAAAATAAACAACCTGAGTACAAATGGACCAAATGCATTAACAGACACCTCACCAAAGAAGATACACAGATCGCAAATAAGTATATAAAAAGATACTACGTATCATATATCATGAGGGAAATGCAAGTTAAAACAACGAGATATCATTACACACCTATTAGAATGGTCAAAATCCAAACACTGACAGCACCAGATACTGGCAAGGACATGGCGCAACAGGAACTCTCATTTACTGCTGGTAGGAATGCTAAATGATACAGCCAATTTTGAAGATGTCTTGGTGGTTTCTTACAAAACTAAACATACTTTGATCATATGATTGAATGACTGCACTCCTCAGTATTTACATAAAGGGGTTGAAAACTTATGTCCACACAAAAAGCTGCAAACAGAAGTTTAAAGCAGGTTTATTTGTAATTGCCAAAATGTGCAACCAAGATGTACTTCATTAGGTAAGTGAATAACTTACCTGTGGTGCCTCCAGACAATGGGATATCATTCAGTGCTAAAAAGAAATGAGCTATCAAGCAATTAAAAGATGTGAAGAAAATGTAAATGCTACTAAGTGAAAAAATCCCATCTCAAAAAACAAACAAACTGTATGACTAAAGTTTATGACGTTTACTAAAAGGAAAAACTATGGAGACAATAAAAAGGTTAGTGTTGCCTGACTGGTGTGGCTCAGTGGTTGAGCGTCCACCCATGAACCTGCAGGTCACGGTTTGATTCCTGGTCAGGGCTCCCAGAAGGGAGCATGCAGGAGGCAGCCAATCAATGATTCTCTCTCATCAGTGATGTTTCTATCTCCCTCTCCCTCTCCCTTCCTCTCTCTGAAATCAATAAAAACATGTAAAAAGAAGAAAAAAAGTTACTGTTGTCAGGGATTGGAGTGGAAGGATGAATTAATAGGTAGAGCACAGTGGATATTTCTATGACACCACAATGATGGGTCCATGTCATAATACATCTGTCCAAACTCATAGAAAGTACACCAAAAAGGAACCATTATGCAAAGTATGAATTTTGGGTGATTATAAATGTCAACGTAGGTTCTTCAACTGTATCAAGAGAACCCTCTGGTAGAGCAGGTCAGTAATGGTGAAGGCTGTGCATGTGCAGGGGCAGGGAGAATATGGCAGTTCTCTGTTTCTCCTCCCATAATTTTGCTGTGAACTTAAAATTGTATTAAAAAAATAAAGTGTTAATTTTTTTTTAAATGATTAAAGTGAAAAATTCAGTAGACAGCTTTAACAGCAGACTTTATCAAGCAGAGGAAAGAGTTAGCACACTCAGATACAGATATTTGAAATTATCTAGTCAAAGAAACAAACATTTTTTTAAAGAATCTTAAAAAGTGAAGAAAGCCTATGGGACTTCTGAGACATCATCATATGACACAATATATGTCACTTTAATTCAAAATAATATTGGAAGTCCTAGCCAGAGCAATTAGGCAAGAAAAAGAAATAAAAGGCATCCATATCAGAAAGGAAGACATAAAATAGTCACTATTTGCAGATGATATGATACTATACGTAGAAAACCCTAAAGACTTCACCAAAAAACTGATGGAACTTATAAACAAATCCAATAAAGTTACAAGACAAAGTCAATATACAAAAATCAGTTGCATTTCTATACACTAATAATAAACTGTTGGGAAGAGGGGTTAAGAAAAGAACCCCACTTTAAATTGCATCACAAAGAATAAAATGCCCAGGAATAAATTTAACCAAAGAAGTAACCTATACATTTGGGACCTATACTGAACACTATAAGACACTGATGAAAGAAATTGAAAAACACACAAATAAATGGAAAGATATTCCATTACCATGGATTAGAAGATTCAATATTGTTAAAAAGTCCATACTACTGAAAGGAAGCTACAGATTTAATGCAATCCTTATCAAGATTCCAACTTTTCACAGAAATAGAAAAAAACAATCTTAAAACATGTATGGAACCACACAAAAAAGACCCCAAATAGCCAAAGGAATCCTGAGAGAAAAAACAAAGTTCTAGGCATCATGCTTTCTGACTTCAAACTATATTACAAAGCATAGTAAACAAAGCAATATGGTTTAGGCATAAAAGCGGGCACACAGACTAATAAAACAGAATAAAGAGCTTAGAAATAAACCCATGCATATATGGACAATTCATTTAAGACAAAAAAGCCAAGAACATACAATGTGGAATAAACAGTCTCTTCAATAAATGGTGTTGGAAAAACTGGACAGCCACATGCAAAATAATGAAATTGGATCACCACCTTACACTGTACACAAAAACTAACTCAAAATGGATTAAAGACTTAAACATAAGACCTGAAACCATAAAACTCCTAGAAGAAAACAGGTGGTAAGCCTTGTCATCTGTCTTGGCAATGATTTTTTGGATTTGAAACCAAAATCAAAGGCAATAAAAATAAATAAACAAATGGAACTACATCAAACTAAGTAGCTTCTACACAGCAAAGGAAACTATCAACAAAATGAAAAGGCAGCCTACCGAATGGGAGAAAATATTTGCAAATCACATATCTGATAAGATGTTAATATCTAATATATATAAAGAACTCATACAACTCAATAGCAAAAAGAAAAATCTGATAAAAATGGACAGAAGACCTAAATAGACATTTTTCCAAAGAAGACATACAGATGGCCAAGAGGTACGTGAAAGGGTGCTCAACATCACTAATTATCAGGGAAATGCAAATCAAAAACACAATGAAATATTACCTCACACCTGTTAAAATGGCTATAATCAAAAAGACAAAAAGCAACAAGTGTTGGCAAGGATGTGGAGAAAAGGAGCCCTTATGCACTGTTGATGGGAATGTTACTGGAGCAGCCACTTACAAAACAGTATGGAGGTTCCTCAAAAAATTACAAATAAAACTGTATAATCCAGAAATTCCACTTCTGGGTCTTTTTCTGAACAAAACAAAAACACTACCTCAAAAAGATATCTGCACTCCCATGTTCATTTCATCATTACTTAAAACAGCCAAACATCAAAGTAACCTAAGTGTCCATTGATGGATGAATAGATAAAGAAAATGTGATATATATGTGATAATGGAATATTATTCAGCCATAAAAAAGAAAGAAATGGCGTTATTTGCAACAACATGGATGAGCCTTAAGAGTATTATGCTAGATGATCTAAGTTAGACAAAGACAAATACCATATGATCTCACTTATATGTGGAACCTAAAAACAAAACAAAACAAAAAAACTCATAGATACAGAGAAAAGATTGGTGGTTGCCAAAGGTGAGGGGCAAAATGGGTGAAGGTGGTCAAGAGACACAAATGACCAGTTATAACATAAGTAAGTTCGGTGGATGTAATGTACAGCAGGGTGGCTATAGTTGATAATATTGTATTATTTGAAAGTTGCTAAGAGAGTACATCCTAAAAGTTCTCATCACAGGAAAAACAATTATAACTATGTGTGGTAATGGATGTTAACTAGACATTGTGATCATTCTGCAATATATAAAATATTGAATCATTATTTTGTACGCTTGAAATTAGTATAATGTTACATGTCAATTATATCTCAATAAAAAAATAAGTTAAAGTTATGCCAAGAGATGCTTCCCACAAACTCATTTAACAAGCATGTACTGAGTTCTTATGTTGATTTAGTAGCCATGCTGGCCACTGGAGACATCAGTACAAAAAAGATAGTCTCTACCCGCCAGGAGTCCATGGTTATAGGAATTTCTGCTCTTCTGACTCTTATACACTGAGTGCCTTAGGCATAATTAGCTGACAACAGTGACGCATACATGATTCTCCCCCTGCTCAAACTTTAAGAAAGAGATGCAAAGAGCCTGCACTTCTTTCATATCTTATGTCTACTATTCCCCCCAGGATCAAGAGCAGGAAATGTGTTACAGAAAGTGTTCAGGAAAGGTTGTTCTCAAACAATCAGAGAAAACACTTCTGTGAGCTTTGGATGCACTTCGCTGCTCATGGCCTAAGGCCATGAAGAGGCCAATAAAGGCTGGACCTCAAAATCATCAACCCAGATCCAAGCTTCTTCTCTGGTACCCAAACATGAAGCTCCTCATGCCTATCTTTGCCAGCCTCATGCTACATTGCCAGGTGAACGCAGGTATGGAATCCTGGGTTTTAGAGGGGTTGGGGTGAGGAAGCAGGGACTTGGTTGTCCATGACAATGGGAACCCCAAGAGATGGTGAAAGATGAGTTGCCCAAAAAGATGGTTGAAGAGTCTGTCCCTCACATCAGTTATGTGTCATCACCCACACATCTCCATAGGCCCCAACCCCAGACTGTGTCTGATAGGAACACACCAGGAGCTAGCTACAGTAAAAGCAGGCTGTTTTTTGTGTACTCAGAAACTATCCAATATATAAAGCTGCCTTCCCACCCTCTACAGAGCTATTATCTGGGACTCAGACCAAGTCTCCCTCATCTTTGCTCTAGTTCTAATTTAAACCATCTCTTAAAGCAAAGGTTCCTATCAGTTTTTACTGTGGTATAATAAGGAGGAATTCCTTACCCTTATATTCAAAAAATAAAATCTCCTTTAGGATCCAGTAAACAGGTCTGTTCTCCATCTCAATTTCTTCAGATTTTTACAGAGTTTCATCCCTTCTCTCAGCCTTTTTAAAAATATATATATCTTTGTTGATTTCAGAGAGAAGAAGGGAGAGGAAGAGAGAGAGGAACTTCAATGACAGAGAGAGTCATTGATCGGCTGCCTCCTGCACGCCCCCTACTGGGGATCGAGCCCACAACCCGGGCAGGTGCCCTGACCGGGAATCAAACCATAATTTCCTGGATCCTCTGTCGATGCTCAACCGCTGAGCCATGCTGGCCCTGCCTCTCAGCCTTTTTTGTCTTGGAAACCCACAAATTACCCATAAGAGCATCTCGGAATATACTGCGGCAAAAGGCTGAAACAGAGGATTGGCCATTGTTACTTGAAAAGGAGAGCAAAGCACTGAGATGTGTTTCAAAAATACAAGAATCAACCAGATATTTGGAATAATTGGCAATGGGTCAGGGAAGGGAAAGTAAAAGTCAAGATGTTTCTAATGTTTTTATCTTGCGACCCTAAGAGAAGGGTAGTAACATAAGCAAGTGTGACTGTCATCTTGGGTAAAGTCACTTAGCCACTTGGAGTCTCAAATTCCACGTGAGTTTGTAATGGGGTTAATTAGTGTAGCTGCTTGAAATACAAGAATTTCACTGTTTTGTCTTTGATGAGGAGCAACATTGAAATGTATGTGAACATTATAAGTTGAATTGTTAAGATGAGTGAGAAAGAACTTTCTTGATTCAGAAATAAGAAGGTGAGACACTGGGACCGAAGGAAAAATCATCCAGCAGATGAAGATGAGGTACTGAACTGAGTAGGAAATTTAGAGCTACAGATAACAATGTGATTATCTTGATAGAGATGAGGTTATGATAATGAATAATACGTCTGAGGAACAGAGTGTCCAGAGGCTGAAAATGATAGAACACCACGCCCCAGGAAACACAGGTCAAGCAGTTGTCAAGGAGGGTAAGGTCATAAACCACTGTGTTTGGCAAGACGCCAAAACACCTGAAAGTCCTATTGATTCTCTCTTTTTTAAAAAAAAAAAAGTCTTTTTTTCAGAGAGAGTGGAAGGGAGAGAGAGAGAGAAACATCAATATGAGAGACACAACAAAGTGGCCAGTTGCCTCCCGCACATGCCCTGACCTGGGCCAGGGATCAAGCCTGCAACCGCATGCGCCCTTGACTGGAATCAAACCTGAGACCCTTCAGTCTGCGGGCCGACACTCTAACTACTGAGCAAAACTGGCCAAGACCTATTGATTCTCTTCTGAAATTCTTTCTTGGATTAGTTTTATGGCAGATTCTACTCTTGTCGGTATTTCCTAGGATCATGGGGAGAAATAGTGATACCTTCCCTATGAGTGTCTAAGATGCTAAGCTGGAGGTTGAAAATCCTATCCAGAAGTACTTGGATTCCCTTTTCTTCTTTCCTGTGTGCCCTAGATTTTTAAAGTAACTCAATGAGGGGAGACGAGAGAGATTTATTTTAGCCCAATGGTTTTCTCTTTTCTTTGTGCAGAATACTTCGGCTCGAGAAAATGTTTAATGAGTTTGGGGAGATGCAAAGACCACTGCGCTGTGGATGAAAAAGAGGTACAGAAATGCAAGAAGAAAAAATGTTGCATTGGACCAAAAGTGGTTCAAATGATAAAAAACTACCTGCAAAATGCAATGCCCCATACACCTGAAGAGGATTTCCAAAAATGGCCAAAAACTACCACCAAGAATTCTAGGGCTATGAAACAAACAAAATATCATATTTTATCTCTCTCCCCCAATACCAAAAGCCCTTTTGCTGACATCAACACCATCATCATCTCAAATGCCAGCACTGTGAACTCTGCCACCTCCAATGCCACGACCTCAGGAAAGATTACATACCCTGCTACTTCTACGAAGAGTGACACCAAAAAAAGCAGAGGTTCAGCCACTGACTTCCCCTCACCATCACCACCACCATGGACACTGCGGACACCATAAACGGAGCTGGAGGAAACAGATGAGCAGGGATATGGGTCTTTCCCTTAAAACACCAGGTTCCTCTCCATCTTTGCTATCTATTAAATAAGACAGAACTGTTTCCTCTGTCATGAGTCATTCAATAGATACTGTGTAAGTACCTACAGTTTACAAAATCTTACCATTCTCACAGGAGGCTCCCAGAGGTGACAGAGCTGGAGAGGGATGGAATTTTAGTTTGCATGCCTAGGAGAAGGCAAGCACCAGAAGTGGTGACTACACATTGAATGTGACCCACGGATGACCCAGGTTAGGCCTCTGTAACAAGGATTTCTGATTCTCATATGGTGTCCTTTTCTTAGCGCAACGGGAAGGAAACTACCAAGAGACATATTTTCTTTTTTCATAGATCTTGGGAGGCAGAGGCCCATATGCAACATAGAATGTGGACGGGTCAAGTCTCTTCTACGCATCAGACCCGTAACTTAGTTAGAAGCCGGTTAACATAAGAACGTTGAGGAATGAGGAAGGAGGGGACACAGGGTTCAGGAGAAGGTGAGCAGAGCAGCACTTCCAACAGATGCAGAACGCAGACTACAAATGCAAACCAACTTTGAATTTTCCAGTAGCCACATTTTGAAAAGTAAAAAGACATAGGTGGAATGCATATTAAAAATACGTATTATTCAATGTGGTAAATCCAAAACATTATCATTTCCACAGGTAATCAATATAAAAAATATTTGAGATTGTCACATTCTTTTTTTGCACTAAGACTTTGAAATATCATGTCTATTATTGTTACAGCGCACTTCATTCATACTTGCCACATTTTAAGTGCTCAATAGTCCCATGTGGCTAGTGGCTACCATATTGGACAGCACCAGGCTAGAGAGTTCTGAGGGTACAGTGGCTATAGGATTGCTAGGTAGAGGGGATCATCCTAATCTAGGGAAGGTAGCCATATTTCTGAGGGCTGTAGTATAGAATTAAGAGTAGAGAAATTCAGGTCTCATATTTCTGGGCTAGTATTTTGGTTCTGGAACTTTTTAACTATGAGGCCTTGAACAAATCATTTATCCATATATGAGCATCCACTTATTCATTTATAAAATAGAAATGTAAACATATTATACCCCAGAATCTATTTCCTTATATCTCAGGTCACACTTCCTTTTATTGCCCAAATTATAATAGCACAGACCCCTATTCCAGTTTTTTAATATACTAACCTCTGCTACATATCACCTCCATCAATTTAAAGATCATCTTTCCTTACTCTACTTGTTCTTTACTAAGTGTCACCCTAAGAAAGGCAAAGATTTTTCCCACAATGCCCTACAGTGATACTAATGTGCAACTTTTAAAATTATGTCCCTGGAAGTTTTTGTACAACAGAAAAAAGTTGCTACACAAAGAATAACTTCAACTCCAGGTACATGTGTGTTCCCTGAAGAACCCAAGCACATCTTCGGGGCACTAGGTTTCCTCCCTGCTACAGCTATTTGCCACACTTTTTTTTAAATCCTCACCCACGGATATGTTTTTATTGATTTCACAGAGAAGATGGGATGGGGAAGAGGGGGAGAGAGAGAGAAACATCGATGTGAGAGAGAAACATCTACGGGTTGCCTCCTGTATGTTCCCTGACCTGGGATTGAACCCACAACGTAGGTATGTGCCCTGATGAATTGAACCTGCAACCTTTTGGTGTAGGGATGATGCTCCAACCAAATGGGCCACCCGGCCAGGGCAGCTATTTGCCAAACTCTTGAAAGTCCAGCCTACTTTCCCACAGTTGGAGTGCTTTCTTCATGGTCTCCCCACAGAAAGAGAAAGTGCCTTTCTCACCTAAGTTTAAGGTCTTCTTCTGAATCCTCATTTCCTGTCATAGAACTTACCCACCATCTCTTCTCAGGGTGATTGGTTCTGGGAATACCCTTTTCCTCACTCACTGTAACAAATACGGTAAGTCTCCAATATCTGCTCTCCTCTTTCACTACAGTAACAGGATCCTCCTAATGTCAGCTTGGCCCAAGGCCAGTCAGAGTAAAAGCTACATTTCCCAGATGGAACTGGCCATACTTCAACGCGGAGTCCAGAACTGGCCACCCTTGAAATTATGCATTAATATTATTGGTAAAAACATCAGAGTTTCCATTTTAAAGGAAAAAAGCCTTTTTCTAAGCATTGGGAACCCCACAGTGACTGTAAATTCGCCCTTGGGATTCATGCTGGCACATCCTAGTGCAATCCCCAGGCTCTGCCACTCAGGGTCTGTGAGGTTGGGATTCACCCTGGCACACCCTAGTGCAACCCCCAGGCTCTGCCACTCAGGGTCTGTGAGGTTGGGATTCACCCTGGCACACCCTAGTGCAACCCCCAGGCTCTGCCACTCAGGGTCTGTGAGGTTGGGATTCACCCTGGCACATCCTAGTGCAACCCCCAGGCTCTGCCACTCAGGGTCTGTGAGGTTGGGATTCATGCTGGCACATCCAGTGCTGCCCCCAAACAGCACCATTGAGAAGCTGTGAGACTCTGAATTTTTCAAATTCTCAGAGCCAATATTTGAACCCAGAATAATCAAATTAGACATCCGTGAGCATTCCCCTAACCAGCACTGCTTCTACAGAGCACTTCACAGTGAGTCATCCATAAATAAATAAATACACAAATAAACTAGCTGCTACCCTCCCCAGAACTATGTATGAAGCTGAATCCTCCCTACTTTTGACAGGTAGTAGGTTAATCCCATACATAATGATGCTGCTGCTGACATGACGGGAGAAAGGAGCGGGCTGGTGAAGAGAAGAGCATTTGAGGGGGGCCCTAACTTATTAGAAGGCGTTCCCTTTACTATCCACATTACTTAAAATGGCCTGATTCCAGTTTAGAACTACTTTAAAGTGTTATGAACATGAATTGTCACATAAAAATTGTAAAGTTTGAGCCCAATGAGCACAAATAAAGTTGGCCTGTAAATAACGTAAGATGATGGAGGGAAGGGCACTAATTAAAACTATAGATTAAAAGTTGGGAGCTGCAGATAAGGTCCAGGGAAAATGTTATCTTTAAAAAAGTAAAGGCCATCTGTCAGTAGCTGAGGCTCAGAAAGTAAATGGAGTATGGGGGGGTCCTGGAGGACAAAGGAGGGACACAGCAGCTGGCACGGCTTGTCCAGCCTGTACCCAACTGAGTGAGTGGGTAAGAATTTGAGCAAGAAACAGCATCACGTTGGCTTCCCTGCTCTCTGCTCATCTATTCAGAGAGCCAGAGACTGTTTTGGCCTGGCCTGTTCCTGTGGACAACACCCTAAATGAGCCCTGGGCCATGTTATGAATTGTGTCCCTCAAAAAAATTATGTATTGAAGCCCTCCGTGTAGCTCTATTTGAAGCTAAGGCCTTCAAAGAACCAATTAAAGTTTAATGAGGTAAACAGGTGGGCCCCAGTCCAATACCACTGGTTTCCTTGTAAGAGGAGGAGACACTGGGGTGCACACATATGGAGGAAAGACCACATGAGGACATAGAGAGAAGACAGCTATCTACAAGCCAAGGAGGCCCCAGGAGAAACCAACCCTGCCGACACCTTGATCTAAACTTCCAGCCTCCAGAACTGTAAGAAAATACATTTCTGATGTTCAAGCCCTAGCAGACTGATACAGGCCATGAAAGAGAGGATATCTTTTCCCTCCTCCTCGCTGAGCTCTGGTAAGATGAAAGAACAACAGGTGATTCCTAAATCACCCTGAGCCTCTGCCTTCATTCTGGGTTTGCCAGTCACTGGCCCTGCGCAAAGCTGAGCAACCTTAGTAGGATTTTTACACTCAAGCCAAGGATATTAGTTTTGAAATCAGAAAGTGAAAGCTCTCCCACTTTGTTCTATTTTAAAATTTGTTTTTATTATTTCTTGCCTTGTTATATAAATGACAAGATCGAAAAGTCCTGCTCGGATTTTGATAGGGATTGTTTTGACTCTATGGGCAACAAAGCATAAGGAGAGATGCTCAAATTCACTGGTAATCAGAGAAAAGCAACTCACTCCAATAATAGTATTGGTAAAATTAGAAAGCTGCAAGGGGGTTTGGGGAGCTAGATGAAAGGGTGAAGGGATTTAGTAAAGAAAAAAAGAAAAAACCTCAGACACAGACAACAATATGGTGACTACCAGAGGGAAAGGGGGACAGGGGAGGTAGAAGAAGGTAAAGGAGACTTGACTTGGGGTGGTGAGCACATAATACAATATACAGATGATGTATCATAGAACTGTACACCTGAAACCTACATAATTTTATTAACCAATGTCACCTCAATAAATTCAATAAAAATTAAATAACAATAATAATAATAAAGAAAGCTTCATAATGGCATGTGTTAGGGAAGATGTATGAATATAGGAACCTTTCTAATATGCTGTAGAAGTATAAACAGTTCCTATTTCTTAAGAACAACCTGCTACTACTTAGTCAAATTCACTAGACACTTATCTTGTGACCCAAGGACTCTACTCCTAAATATATCCCAGATATTCTTACCCAATTGGTAAAACCAATACCAATCTAAGGCAATCTGGACAGCCATTCTGGAGGACTGGATCAGTAAAATTATATGGACTCACACTTTAGAATACCACACGTAAGTTAGGAGCAAGGGTCAACATACACATAGCTACGTGAATGGATCTTCACTACTATAGCTCTGAGTGACAAAGAAAAAGCAGATCTACAATACCATTTATATAAACTAAAAATACATGCAGAAAGTATACATTTAAAAGAACATGTAAAAGATACTCATCAAACTCTTTAGAATGAGAGGCAGGGGAGTAGAGTCGGGGCTACAGTTAGAGAAGTGAGTGGGCGAAACGATGGAGGAGAATGATCAGTTCAACAGCCAAGGTCAAAAAATCAGGAGGAGCGAGAGCGCGGCTTGGGCTGCAGCCTGGGCCCGCCGCAGAGCTTCTGCGTGCGCTCGGCCCCAGTAAAATCTTGAAGGCACAGGCCAGAGAACACTCTCATATG